CGTGGGTCAGCAAGGGCGGGTAGCTCCCGTGGGTGCTGCAGGACAGCCGTGGTCCAGGCCTCGGCCCTCCCCTCCCCAGGCGTCCCTGTGCAGATCTGCCCTTTCTCTGGGCCCAGGTCCTCCGTGGCTGCTCACCACAGACGTTGCGGTGGATCCCGCATGCGGCCCTGGCCCTCGGGTCTCCCAACCTCCGCAGCGTCCTCAGGCCTCCTCCCTTCCACGGGCCACCTTTGCTCCTCAGGGTAGGAGCTGTGGACAGGCAGGGGGGCAGGCCTCTCAGATACAGCTGGGGGTCTGCCATGGGAAAGATTGTCTCTCCAGCAGCCCAGAGAAACCGGGGTGGGGAAGAGGCAGGAGCACACACTGGGCTGGGAACAAGGCAACAGATCGTGGCCCTGCTTTCTCCATAAATACAGGGACATCCCACAGGACATGTGGTGGTTGGTGACTGTTAGCATCCTTCATTAAGGCCCAGAATGAAGTCATTGGTATGCATCTGTATGCATATGGTATGCATATTTGATTAAGGACTTATCAGATGCTGACCTGTCATGTAAGTTGTTGATTTAAACCTTCAGGTTACCCTAAACCCCACAAACATACAATGCTCTAAAATGTTGTTGGCCACAGCAAGTGCTGGGGTAGACTTTAGGTAGCAATTTGGGAGTAATTTGGTGGCTTCAGACCTACAGTATTTTCCCTCTGCCCAAGTACAGTGCCCACATTTTTCAGCATTCAAAGAACTCTGCATGAATATAGATCTCAAAGTTAATATTTTGTAGCTAAGATGGGGACTGAAATGTGCAATGCCAATTTGGGCTTGTTGGTTAGTTTAAGACATCTTTTCATGTGGAAAAGTCCTTAAGACACACACGGGCGGTGAACGTAACTTGGAAAATATCTCACTACAGAGATAAAAAGAAATAGGAGTCACCTAGTCGTTAGACATAAACCCCTCCTAAGCTGCCTTGAATATTCAGTTTGTTGCATGTGTGTGGGGCACTTATCTAGAATTACAGTCTTTGGCCTGCACGCAGCATGTGGGTCACTTAGGTAGTGAATATACTCCCCAAACAAAGAGGCTGTTAGTTTTCAAACTGCTCTAAAAATCACTATATTTTTCTTGGAGAAATGATGTATCACTGGGGAGTCTTGGAAAAACTTTGGAAGAGGAAGCAAGGATGTGAATGAAACAGCTCACATATCTTTTATCAGCTGGGAGCCAGGCTGTTGACAGGAGGGCCTTGGCCAATGAACTACAATTGTGTTTTTGAAGATGATCCCTCTGCTCCCCCCAGGGTGACCCTCAGTTCAGTATTTTTCACTGTTGCCCCTTTTCAGAGAAACCCTGGGAGTTCAGGTCCTCCGGATGTCATCAACAGAGACTTCCAGTGGCCACCGCTATTCACAAATTTCAAGTGCATGCGTAGTTTCCAGTATAAAAAAAGAAAATGTCAAGCTCAGGGGGGATGTTCCTCTTACCAAACCTCTCTACCAGGCATGATACCCCAAGGTTTTCATGAAACAGATCAAGTACCTTCTCTAGACCCTGTGGAGGATGCATCAGAGCAGGAGCGATGACCCAGCATGGCTCTGGGCACATCACAAATTATGGCAATGCAAGTTATGTTCAGGATGGACTGTGCTGGTTTTCCAAAGTGCCCTCTGACAGTTCCAGGGGTCAGCAGCACAGGAAACATACATTTAACCCCTTTTTTCCAGATAGGCCAAATGAAAAGCCTGGATCCATCCACTATCCCAACAGGGTGAAAGACCGATTCCTGGTGAGCCTTATCCCTGGTGAACCCCACCTTCTGAACAGTGAGCAGAAGCAGTCACAGGGCTCTAGCCTGTTCTGGGCTTCTGCTCAATGGTGTGTTATTCCCACTGTGCACATGAATTTACACAGCTTAGCGTTTTCCCCTCCATCTTTTGTAGGGATGTCAGAATACCCCTGGCTGAACAGTGGGGCATAGGTGGAGCAAGTGAAGATGAAAGCACAGAGACGGTAGCTCATGGTTGAATTATTTATTGGGTTTTGCAGATGACTGAACCCCTATATAGAGGATTTAAGAGGACTGCGTAGGAAGAAATGAATACCCCAAAGCCTGGCAGCTGTGGCATGCCATGGATGTGCATCCCTCACCCTCTGTGAAAGCCATTTATCTGTACTTCTCAGTCAGAACAGAGGAAACGCTGGACAGGAACTTGTCCCACGCAGCATGAACTTCTGGGGTGAACTCAGTGGGATAGCGGGCAGCCACAGAACACAGGATACAGTGGGAAAGCAGCTGTAAGGGAAAACAGGACAGAATCCATTGTGATCAGTATAGACCTCAGTCTAGGGATCTGTAACAAACCTTACTCCTAGCCTGCTCTTGGACGACAAACACATGTCCCAGCCAGTTAACACTGGCTAAAGTGTGAAGAAGCAGAATTGCCTTTTGCACAGGGCAAAAGGCACTGCTTGATACTACTCCCGCTTTTCAAATGTCCCTTCCTCCTTCACCAATGGGCAATGCAAGAAAAGTGGAAATGTTGTTTAGAATTTACTAAGGCTTTCTTCAAGAAAGGTGATATTATACTCTGACATGTGAGAAAGGTTCATAAATTACTACAAAGACAGCAGGGACTCAAGTCTGTCTAACACAGACCACAGGAACCCCCTGAACAGTTCTTTTCTTGAGCTAGACCAGATCTTTCATGAAAAGATCCAATCTCAGGTTAATAATCAGATGGCGAAGCAGCAACATGAGTTGACAAGGCTGTACAGTGCAGTAAGGGATCAAGCCACCATTAGCTGAAATGATCCCTGGTCTCTAATTTTGTGACTGGCAGTTTTCATCCCTGAAAGTGTCTGTTTGTGTTCACTCACCTTGAAGTTCACTGGGTCCACCCGTAGGATGTAAGCATGTAGCTCGCTGAGTTTGGCCAAAGCGCCTCTAATGTCATCAATGTGCTTCACAGCTTCCCCAATGGCGTTCATGACCTTGGAGCCATGACCACGAAGCTGAACAGAACCTTGGCTGAGATCGAAATGAGGGAAGTAGGTTTTTGTCTGGGGGTAGCTGGAGAAAAGCCTGGAGGAGAACAAGAGAATTAAATTCAGCAGCGTAAATTGCATGGAGGATCTCAACCTCAGGACAAGTGTGCTGTAAACCCACCAGCTGCAGCAGTACACTCGCTCAGCTGTTGTAACAGAGCTTTGGGGGTCTGAAGCTTGCATTAAGACCTGCTATGTTTCTGCTCTTAAAACACTTTGGTAGTATGTACAAATTAGCCAGGGGTCTAAAGCTCATGTATTATTAACAAATAATGCACCCAAATTGTCACCTACGTTTCGTGTATTACGCTGTCAGCCAGTTAGCAGGATCTGCAAACTAATCTGAGCTGAATGAACCAGAATCAATATGACTGGTACTCTGAGTCTCAGAAAGAGCATCACAGTACATTAGATTGATCTGTACATAACAACCACATAACTTTGGTTAACTTAATTGCTTTGGAACAATTTACAGACTACTCTCCCTTTTGTGCCAGCTTGCTGAATTTGGGTGAACTTCTTTTGGAAGAAGTAGCCACTTCCTTAGTCTTAAGAGTGGCTTGGCTTATTTGAAAGGGACATCCCTGTTGGGATAATAAGAAGCTATTGTATTTACAGTGGATTCCTTCAGTGCCCATTCTGTTTGCTGTGATATACTTCATGCAGGGTCCAGTTGTGTTGTTTCCTAACAGTCTGTTACACATCAACTGGCTCAAGGAAACGTGAGTATCCAATGAATTTATTGGACAGCTATCATCTATTAATGCTGATTATATGGTGATAGGAATTGCATCACTCATACAATAAACTGCTTTAAGTTCATTTCCTAGCAGTGATAACCCTATTTCAGGACATTGAGTATGAATGAATTTAAATTCCTCTTCCGTGCACCTGGCTATGAATTCTTCCGGGTTGCTATAAGGGGAAGGAAACCTGTAGAATTGAATAGAAAATTATGTCTTGCCATGAAGTTTTGAGGCCATCTGTTAGAATTTAGTAGCAAAGATGTAATTCCAGTAAATTACATATTAAATAACATCATAGAGCTCATCAGCAATTTCTATATAATTGCCTAAATTCTAAAGGACTTGCCACGAGGCTTGTTCTCCAAGACATATCTAGGTCCTTCCTCATCAGTGTTTCCTGGTGCAGCCCAAAATCCACTGACACCACATGCTCAGTAGCCAGCCAGCCTTGGGCCTTGTCCCGCAGGGCTCTGCGCGCCACTGGCAGAGCCGACCAGCTCCCCACTGCCAGAAAGGCTGAGCATGTGTATGGAGGCGGTTAAGGTGACTGCAGAATCTAATTCACACCAGTCCCAGTGTGATCTCATTCATATACGTTTTACACAAGAAGCATCCTAATAGCAAAGTCAGATGAGGCACCCTTTTAGGAGGGGTGCTGGGTGACTTACCTCTCCAGTGATTCTGCCCCGATGGCGTCAGCTTGGGTAGCCACCTTCGACCAGATGGTGATCACGGCGGCCTTCTCAGCTTGAGTCAGAGTCATTGTGCAAGAGGGTGCAGTCTCAGGCTCCTTGCAACGAACGCTCAGAGCAAGCTTGTGCTAACTGCCCTCACAGCCCTGGTTATAAAGAGGAAGAGGAGAGCGGATCTTGGCAGCTGTCCACGCTCATTGGTCACTCCTGAGGCCCTCCCATGGAGGTGGGAGACTCTTATCTCCCTGTGAAACAATGTCCATTTCGGCAAGGGTCAGTGCACTGGCCTCCTCGTTTGCTGGCGTTATCAGCTTCTTGCTTCTTAACGTAATGGCCATGTGGCCTGAAGAAATTGTCTGGACGCGTATTGATACATGAACAGTGAGATAATGGTGGAAAATTCCAGTGACAGAGTATTAGGACCCATCATTAAGCTGAGGAGTGTGTGGATTTCAAACATACTGAGAAGTCTAGAGAAAAATCCTTTTGGAGAAAAATCCATTTGCCTCCTTGCTTCAGAGATGTGTATACAAGGCCTCTGGGTTTTGCTGTGGCAGATCATACACGTCCTGTACACGTGGCACCTGCATGGTCCAATACTCATACAAAATGATTCCTGGGTAGCATTGGGTCAGGCTGGGAAATGCTCGGTATAGTTCAGAGTGGGAGTGCGTGACGGACCAATAAATGCTCACAATGGAAGAAGGTTCAGAGGAGATGGGCAAGGGTGATGTGCCCATATAGCCCCCAGAAGAATGCAGGAAGTGACTGATCACAGCTGTTACAAAGAAAGATGAATTTATCTCAACACAAAGGGGACCAGAGGGACCTGTGTTGTAGGTAAACGGCTGTGTCAGTTGATTAGGTCAACTGACTATATCACAGTTGAATGGATCAACTGATGGTGTAAATGTTTTTCCCGAGTTCATCGAAAGAGTATGAATGTCTGTGAGTTAAGCAGACCAGCATAGGGGGAGCATATACATGGCTAAACCCAATATAGACAATAAAAACTGAACAACTAACAAAACAACATTGAAGAAATCAATGGTCTTGAGCTGGTTTCAACCCACGTATTCCTTCCCAGCGTGTGGGGATGCCCAGCATCATGATGGTGAGCATATTATAGAGACTGGTAAGGGGAATTACATTTGTATTACGACTGAACTGTATATTGTAATGGCTATATTTTGCTAGATATAATTTACACTCGTATTGTGATTTCAGTTTTTTGCCCTGTAACTCTGTTACATCAGAATCCTATGTAACGTCAAATATCTTCAAAAAAGTAAATTTGATATTAAACATTACACCTTCCATGCGCGGAATATCTAAAAGAACGTGGTCAGAGTATTGGACTCTGACAGCAGTGGAGATTTTGACATTCATTTCAGCACTGCCAGGACTTCATCTTCCCAGCTTCTTACAAAGAATTAGGGACTCATTCCGCAATCAGTTTTGCTCATAACATCACCAGTAGTAATGACTTATTTGGATACATGGAGATTGAGTTTATGAAACTGAGCATGGTCCTAGAAAAATGCACATGCATATGAGAAAGCCCAGCCAGACACGTGTGCTTTCCTGTTGTCCACAGATCTTGAAGCACTGAGAGCAGGCTGCTTCCTCAGACAGTAACATAGATGTTTCCCAGCAATTCTTAAATCTATAATTCACTTATATACAGCTCTCTTGCGAGTTTCGTCACTAAATGTCTAACACTGCAAGTCTTTGATTTCTAGCTGTATTATTCTTACTGATTCCTTGTGCTGTAAAATAGTCCCTTGCAGCATAGACGGTGCTGGGGTGCACTGGGCTACCTGCTGGACATGCACAGGAAAACCTGGTCCTACCATAAAAGGCTTGTAGCTTCAGGGCACAGCCACACTTGATGGGTGAAGGACCAAATAAGAAAAGGAAAAAGCAGCATAGGTCTGTAATCACAGACAACTGGGCAGAGTGCCAAAGAAATACCCATCTGGAGATGGTCACTGCTGCCAGCACGTGTAGCCCAGGCTCTAGTAAATCTCTCCACCACCCTGATAAACTACAGAAACAATACACACCACTGTGTGCTGGCAGTGGTGCATGGAGAGCTGGCTGGTACAATCAGACAGGTCAGATCGTGTTCTCTGCCCAGTCCTGCATGCTTGCGCTGAGAAGGTTGATGTATGAGCCAGAGTCCTCACCAAGACATGCCTGCCTTTCACGACTGCAACAGAAGATGCTTCCCAGACACGGTCATCCTGCTTAGAAGAAAGCCCTTCTAGGGAACTTAGGTCACGTGCGGATTAGAGTATGTCCAGAACAGGGTAGTGTATGTGCTGTATATGTCCACATTAAGATGAGTTTGTGGCCAACTGAAAACCCAGAGCTGACTCTGCTCAGCTACACGGATGCGGTGCAGAGCAGTCTCCAATTAAAAGTTTCCTCTGATAGTGCTGGCAGTAATCCTTCAGCCAAGGCACAGGGAAACATAATATTCAATTTAAACAGCTTAAAGAAGTGTCAAGGCAGATTGCATTCATCACCCCTTGCTACATGCATTGTAAAAAACTTACAATTTCCCATAGAAAAATTACCTTGAAAATAATCATGCTATTGTGAGATGTACACTTATATAACGCCTTTGTCTCATTCCCCCCAACAGAGTGCTCCCCCTTGCATTGCCCATTGCAGAGCTACGCTCCAAGTTCTGCTCAGCGACGGTGCTTTCAATCACAGGTCACTCAGTCGACTCACGAGGGAAGTCACCGTGAACTGGATGTAGCCAGGCACGAGGCAGGGACCTTCCATCCTGTTGTGCTGCCCCCTGTTTAGCCTGGACATCGATTCTGCGTGATTGGAGAATTAAAGTCTGCGCAGGCACGAGGATCACAGCGACGTCTGCACAGGAGGCCTGCTAGTTCGTATCTGATTGCTCATCTCTGAAATCTTTATTGAATTTTAATTCATTTCCACAGAGTTACTCTTGCACTACCATGAAAGCCAGAGCAACCAAAAGGCAACGGTGGTCTGTGAGAAGGAGCTCGCCACTTGCCTAGGACCAGGGCTGCACTGGAGACAGTTGTGGGAGCTCTTCATGCCCCTGAGGGAGAAGCATGGTCTATAGCCACATGCTGCAACGTGATGTGGGAGGGTGACAGTCACCCTTCCGTCCTTACATAGACCTCTCCACAAAGTCCCTCTGCCTCGGGGCTCCAGCTGCCCTGTGGAGTAACTTGGACAACACGATCGCTGTTGTTCCTCTGCCCACGGGATTGACTACGAAGCCGTGTCCCCCAGGAGAATGCACCTGACGCGCCTTCCGCTTTTTCTGCTGCTTCTCAGAATTATTCATAAATCCGTAGCAGGATGTGCATCTTTGTGCAGATAATTAGCCTTTATCACCAATTTGTGAGGTGTTGCCAAAGCCCTGGAAAAGAGCGGCAGGCCAGGCTGGCACGTGTATTGGCATCCTGAACAGCAGCTCGGCCTCAGGTCTCTCGAGCCACCCTCATCCTGCTCCTGGAAGAACAAACCAAACAGCAGGTGAGAAAAGCAATTTTTAGTATTAACGTAGGTCTTCTCTATTCCTGCTCAAAATTCAGGCCGTAGGAGGCACAAATGGATTTTATTTCTCTTTTTAAAGGGCAGAAGCAAGCAAAAGACATGTTTGCTCATTATAAAAGTGGGATTATAATTTCCTTGAGCCCTGACTGTAAATCCAGCGACTGAGCTAATGGCGATCCCTCCCTGAGCTCGAGGACAACGTTCCTCTGGGGCCTTCGTTCTGCATGGGAACTGCCCTCCTCTCGAAGGCGCCTTCAATGTATAACGGTGGCACATACCCCTGACTCTAACGCTGAAGAATTTGGGGCAGATGGAGTTTTGCAAATCTTGAAAGTAGACGCTAAACCCTGGTTTTATTTTTTCGTTTCCTGCCAGTGCTCAAAGGGCTTGCAGAACTTTGTTTTAATGAAGCTACTATCTCCTAGAGCTTGAAATGACAAACATGCGTGTAATTTATTATTAAAAAAGAAAAAAAAAGAAAGTATGCTTCAAAGAAGACTCCCCGGGGAAAATTTAACACAGCTGCCCAGTGCTGGCACATGAAGAATGCTCTGTTGTGATAATATGACTCCTCTTTAATCACTCTCAAACAACTCTCTTGCCTCAGTGACACCTACTTTTGCTTCAATTGTTATCATGTGCCGTGCGGAGAAGGGCAGCGCAGATTAAGCGCGGCGCTGTGTGTGCTCATCTGCCTTTCACTCTTCGACCACCCATTGCTCTGCCTGATGCCCGGGACGGGAATCTTGCAGAGTACAACCCGGAGGGGGGATATCGCAGAGTGTTCGAGTATCTACACGTTGCAATCAAATACAGGAGAAGTTGCATGCAAAACCCAGGCCGTTCTCTAAAATAATTGCAGATAATTTTCTGATCTCAGTTTAACACAAAAGACAAATGGCAAGACGAACGCACCGCGACAGCTGCCAGCGGAAGCAATGATTCGCTCAGTAATCCAGAGGGAGGTGTGCGTTTACGGGGTTCACCCGGCAAACTGTATCAGAGTGACATGCGCTGTGCCCTAAGGAGCCCGGAGATCATAGGGGGAACGTGGGAAACAAGATCAAACACGGCTTGCCACGTGCATGGGAAGCAAAGAGGTCTGATTTCCAAACCTCCTTGGTTTGGAAAGTGTGAGCCTTTAATGTCTAAATCCCGAGTGCCTAACAAGCCCTGCGATTAGGGACGCTCACTGGCTCGCTCTGCCCTTTACCACCAGCGTTTGGTAAAGCTGTAGAACCGTAACGGCCAGAATGACTGCCTGGCTCGAAACGCCTGAAAGAGGCCAGGCGGCGCGGAAGTAACCAAGGGGAGCGCGGGCATGTGGGGAGATGGGCGAATAAACCTCCTTCCCTTGCAAAACCAGGCGGAGTGCGTTGTTTTGCAGACCAGCGCAGCAGCCAAGCTGGGCCCAAGTCTCACACGCCTTCCCGGGCCGGGGAGCCGGAAACGCCGGCGGGGGGCTTAGCAGGCGGTGATGGGGACAAGCTGGGGACAGCGGCTGGGGGCGAGGTGCCGG